CATGGACACAGCTGATGCAGAATAGGGGGCAGGAGCCCCAGGACCAACCAGTCTCTTAGTCCAACCCAGCCCAGATCAAAATCTGGCCTGCAGAAAAATCTCTGAGAGAATCTACTGCAAATTCACAGCAGAAAGTAATGGAATAGAGGGCAGGTACCAAGGGATGCTGAAAACGAGTGCTTGCTCCCTGCAAAGAAACAAAGTCAAGTGTGATCTCCCCAGATTTTATCAATCCTCTCTTGCCCTGGCCCCAGAGTCTTTCCAAAGAGAACTCACAGAAGATTCCAAAGAAGGAAGCCCTATATTCCAATAAGATGAGCACAGATCTTCAGAAGGCCTTCATATTAAAAATAAAGAACAGGAAGCCAGCCCTAAAAAAAAAAAAATCACAAAGCCTAAGATGCCTCTTCTTCCCTGGAGTTCATCTCTCCAAGGATCTTTAGGACATAAATTAAATAAATAGGGGAAAAACTAAGAGCAACTAAGTCCACTGCATGCAGGGCGTAGGTCCCCAAACTTGGAGCAGCTCAGTGAAACCAGAGAGGAAAGCTGCATCATTCCAGTACCACACTCAGCTGTACTCACTCTGGCCCCTTTGTGCGTAAGGCAGCAGCTGGCCATATACTTGTATCTGGAGTCCACACCTGACCAGGGCCCCTAATAACTGGAAGAAATCACTTTCACAAAATATGTTTTTAGGACTACAAGGATAATTGAGACAGAACGCTAAGCTGGCGTGATTTGGGGGATCCATCTAAAAAGCCTAATCATGGCTAATTCACCGTTGGCAGCCACCCTGGGATTTCATGCAGAGCGCTGGTTTCGCTAAGGTAATTGGTGCTATTGAAACAAGGCAGTGCTCTGCAGTTCACTGCTCCCCTCCTCGCCTCTGGGCATGGCGAGGATCAATATTTGTTAGGATTGCTTCTTGTTCCAACAATGTAAGATTTACAATACTAGCTGGGATTCTCACTTTGTCTTCACACAACTCATCAGTGGAACCCAATTACTAACCTCAGACAAACAACATTAACATGAGCCTCTATGCTGCTTTATTGCCCTTCATCCAAGTCTCATTTCAGGGTCTTCAGGCAGTGCCACTATAACAGATACTACACTTTAAAGTGTGCTCCAAGGAATAAATTCTCAGTCTTTCATTACTCGTACCTTGATTTACTTCATATCATCTTGCCGCTATAGACAAAGATAACACACTGTAAATTACAGCCATCCTGTCTCGTAGTTTCAGAGGTAGGGGGAAGGCAGGGAGTCAGGCTTTCTTTGGCTTCACAATTAGCGGTGGACCAGGCGCTATGGCTCCTGCACTGCCCACAATTAGCTGGTATTTATTAGAACCATTTGCAATGCGTGGCTTAGACACAGTTCCCTTCCCCCACCCCCAATCCTCCCTTCTGCCAGAGAGCCCATTAAATTAGAAAAACTTCAAAGCTAAATGAAAATATGGTTTCCACCACTCTTTATTGCATCCTCTCACTGGCTCTCAGTTCACGTACATGGGTTCAGAGGATAACTCAGCAAGTTTATTTTATGGAGAAGCCCTTCCAGTAATCAAGTGCTTGTTAGTAAACAACTCAAAATCTCCCAAATCAGGTTTAATTCTCAGCAGTTCCCTCTTTTCTCCACCCCAAATCCTGGTCTAAATAACAGCTGTCCAGCTTTGCCTTGAATTTCAACAGGGGAGCCCAGGTAAGGAGGGACCTAAGAAAATAGTCACTGGAAAAGTCCTTCAAGTTAGCTGTAGCAGTACCCCCTTATTTGTCCTACAATTTCCTCCATCCTCCATCCTATTCCAGTAGCTGATAACTAAGAACATTAGTTTTATGCGACTTGTCAAGCTCAAATGAAAAGAGAGCTAACTTTAATGACACTGCAATTAATCGCCCCAATAGACAGACAGCTAAAAGACAAGATATTGACTTCATTAAGGATAATGTATTATGTCATTAAGTTGGTAGGGTCACCTTGTGTATCATACATGCCTGCTAATATATTGGCATTTTCCTCAAATAAGATAAATTCAGATATGAGTGATAAAGCTGATTAGAAAATGTTTAATCTAAAGAGGCTACTTTCCTCATACACCCGCTCTGCAGCCTCAGGTAGAAGTGAAGTCATAAGAAACCATTATAGACTCAGGATTATCTCAAAAAACAGACTCAAGTCATTTATAATCCAGCCCTTCCCTCCTTCATTTCTATGGTTACAACAGTGTGTCTTAAATGATGGAAGCTGGAGAATTTTTAGCAACTTGATGGTTCACACACTTGAGTTGGTGGGTCATTGTTTTTAAACATGGCACCTGTTTTATTTTGAACCTTCTCATACCCAGACAATTCAAATGAAAACAACCACATGCTATTGGTGACATGGAGCTCAGGGTTCACCCTGTCAGGGTAGGCCTCTAAAGCTACTGGTTAGGAAGAGGAACTGGGATACAACGCAACTCCAAAACAGATTGTTCTTTTTAATGAGATGACTTCTCAAGGCTTACCTAAAAGGAGTGGGTTGGCTTAAATAAAAGCATTTTTTATTCAGAGTGAAGAATTCACAAATTAAGATACATTTGCTGAAGCCTTTCCTGGCATTTCATTTCACATAAATAAAATAAGATTTTTCAAATATCATTTATCTGTCCTCAGCTATCAGCAAAAAATGTAATCATAGTTCAAATGTTGTCTGAAGATGAGGGATTCCCATGGATAACATTGTGTCATTCCTGAGATTGGTAATGGGTTCCATAATACACTTATTTTGGGGGTGCTGGGACTTCTTGTCCCCACTTAAGCATCACAGTTTGTAACCCAGTAAATGGAATGATGATTTTATGACATTTCATTTGACCTAAGATAATTATTTGCAATTGGGTGGTCAGTCTATAAACAATATTTGAATGAGAACAAACCAAAATAAAGATTAGACTACAGTGTTAACTGCTGCATAAAATACTGAAATGTGTGGCTAGATGAAAAAAGATGCATAGGTGTGGATATACATTTTAGATATATGTTTGTATATACAAATAGATGCACAGATAGACTCATACCCACAGATCATGTCTAGATATAGTATTGAATCCTCAGATCATACCAGGGATCTCAGCTACTTTCCTCCCCACATCAGAATTTCCCCATTTTAAACATGAGCATATGGAGCACTGGAGAAGTGAGGCAACTTGTCCATATTCACACAGGGCATTAGCAGTTAACAATAATCCTGGGCTGATGATTCCCAGGCCAGTCTTTCCTCCACACCCCTTCATTCCCTACCCATGTATATTTTTAAATCCACTTTTCACATCCATGGGTAGAACTTTCTGGACTGTGTCTCTCTTACTGCGTGAATATAGAAATACAGGACTCAACACACTGGGTGCCTTCAAAACAAAGAACATTTTAAGAAAACTGGAGATCTTGGTCACCAGTGCTGACCAGGCAGATAACCTAAAACTCACTATCTGCTCATTTATTCAGTCTTTTAAACAATAACAAAAAAGTAAAAATACGAAAGGCGACGCACGATCGACGAGTGGCCAGAGCAAAACATGCGATGTGATGCCTGCATCAACCATCACAAGCCCACACAGCCCACATTTTTCCTTCCTGCCACTGCTGCTGACAGTAAAATCACTTGCTTGATTTTCCAGACCTCCGAAAGGAGGGCAGGACTGACAGCAGGGGAAGCATCTCAGTTGCTTGTGGACAGACACCTTCCCAGTGGTGAAGGAGGACTTCCCACCACTCCCTCTCCAAACTCACCGCTAATTACCAGCACCTGCAGCCCTTCATGCCAAGCCATCCCTTTTAACCTGAACCCTCATCTTTTCTATTCTTTCCATTAAGATTGTCAAAACCAGAAGTTTGGGAACCTTTCTCTGTGACCTTGGCATTTCTTTGCAGGCTTAACGTATTGGCATTTTTTTCTCTGACTGCATCTCTTCTCATTTGTCATGATTATTGCTGAATTTTTCAACTGTCATTCCCAAACGTAAATCAATGGTTGTCTACTTCCCCTTTGTCATATCTGCACAGCAAACAGCCTTTCCCTTCTAAATGAAGCTTCCTCCCTTTCCATCCATTAAAAGGGGCCTGTCTGCAGGAGAAGTCAATCCTTTGTTAGGTCATTGCATTTATCACGCTTCCAATCAGTGCCTGACACACTTATTCAGCCAGGTCTTCAACCACACAATCATTGTTCATCTGAGGGTTGTGCTGTAATTTATTTATGCATGGTGTTTGCCCTATCCATCTTGGGCATTTTCAAATTTTTCACCCCTGCCCTTCTCTTCCTCAGAACCCTCAATGCTTACAGGGAATTTGGGGGTGGGACGGGATGGGCAGTGATGGGGGCAGGGAGAGGGGTAGAAAGGAAAAGAACGAGGAGCTTTGTTTCTGTGGGAGTGGCTATAAGCAAGCTCCCTTCTTTGTGAGAAACTGAGAGCAAACCAAGAGAGACATTGAATGAGGGCCTGGAGCCCTAATCACAGAGCACCATTTAAGCCAGGGGACCCTCTAAGCCAGAAAAAGTGCTCAAGAGGGACAATTCCCATGATATACGAAATGAAAGTGAAGTCCCATCAAGTGTAATAAAAGCCTTTTAATAAGCTCCATTTGTCATACAGACTCTTTTAGAGGAAACTTGTTCTTAAGGGGAAAAGAAGCTGTCCCTTTTCAAAGAATTCACACCTCCTCCAGGTAGCTGGCTTGGCTTGAAACAAGCCAGTCTGTGTTACCAGGAGATTCCCAGGTGAACGTGGCACTGACCCCAACACTATTAGTGGGTACAGATGCAGGCCCCCGGGGCACCTGGACCTTGTACATGGAGCAGGTCTCCCCATCAGCCACAGACTGACCCTCTACCACCTCTTCGGGGTTCTGTCACCCAGGTCTCTGGCACTGGAACACACTGTCTTCGGTTGAAAGGCAAATTTTTTAACAGAAGAAATCCAGACTTTGCCTTCCCTAAAAATGCTTTCAACTCACAGTTCAGAGAAGGGATGCCTCCAGAGGTGGTCAGGGCCCTCCTGGCTATCCAGAGTCCTCCTGGCCTCTCTTCTCTCCCATCGAGGTGCCCAAGGCAAAGTCATGGAGTGATGGTAATTCTGGGGCATCCATAATGTCTGCCTCCCTCCTTTGACCAGCAAAGAGTCCTGGAAAACTAACAGGTTCATATAAAGGAAATAGCCTGGGGGAAATGGTACTCTAAGAATTTAATGAACATGATTACACATAATGCCACAATTAATGATAAGGTCACTCATCCCTATTTCCTTTTCAGCAGATGATGTCCCCTCCGTCCCCAAAACCCACACATGCACATTTCACAGACACAGAAAGTAAGGCCACGATTGTTAAATAGCTTGCCTAAGCCAGAGTTAACCGGGAGGACTGGGGTTAACTGGTCCTCCAATCACTACTTTTACTGGGAACTCAAAGAAGGTTCCTGACATAGATGTGGTTGATATTGTTCTTAAAGGCTGCTATTCACAGCTCGGCAGTGTATTATCTGCACAGCTGGACATGGCCACCCTTTGTAAATTTGAGGTGGTAAGAAAGGGATAAGCAGGTATTCAACTACACTTATGTAAAAGTTTCTTTAGACCAAGTCCATACAGCAGGGTACAACAGGAACCTAAAAATATATCCTCAGCAAGAATAAAAGAGCATCAAGAAATACTGTATCCCTAGATTCTCCTTGTCTTTGCCAACTCCTTCGTCTTCATCTCACCAATCTTCTACACAACTTGTGAAGTTATTTCTATGCAGTGATAGAGGGGCATGGAGCACTAGAAACACCATTCTAGCAGATGTACGACCAGAGAAGAATTACTAGCTATGTGATGGTCCTGGCACATCTCACTGGCACCTGTATTGCACTCTGGACTTATTGTGACCTCAACTACTCTGTCAGGAAACCACCTTGGGCTGGATCCACTGCTGTTAACAAAAACTGTCTTGTTTCACTTTCCTGAAAACTTTACGATGCAGCGATCATGGTATCTGAAATATGTTTTTGCTCTCCAAGCCCTTATCTGAGTATGGGTGTAGATATGCAAAGCAGGTATTGAGCTGTTTCTCCATTGGTCATGCATCAGAATCAGTTTCCATGGTTGAACATAAAGTGACAGGTTAAGGAGTGAAGAGTCTGGTGCATCTTCATTGGCTGAGTCTCCAGCATCCTCCGGAGACATCCCAGTAGTCCAACTATCCATTTAGCTGATCATTTGCTTAAAGGTGATGAGGCAGGATGGTGACAGCTCAGATAAGGTTTCTGGCCATAACTTCCTTAAATTCAGACCCACTGTGAGAAATGATAGTGTCTGGAAAGCCATGTGTTGAAAGTACCTGTGATTATTTCCAAAAGGGCTAGAACCAGAGTTTCTGTGAGCATGTGGGCATCTTGAGTCATTTTGAAAAGGAATTTCTACCTCAGTAATCCTGCAGAATTAGTACTGATTCTTGATGAAGGCTTTGGTCAAGTAACTTTATAGTTTATGAAACACCTTCACATACACTATTTTCAGTGGATTAAGCTAAAGAGTTTGACGTTATCCTTAGCAATCCGTTCCAGTCTCCTAACTGTAACTTCTAGTCAATTACTTAATACATAAAATTCACAAAAGTATTGCATGGCCAAGATAGCATTCACAAAATATTGCAAGCAATGGCCAAGATAGTAACTATACTTTGTAATAAACACTATAATTTTACTTTATTCAGGTTTTTTTTTATGGGCAGATAATTTACGTAGGCTGGTTGCTTAGTTCAGCTCCTATTGAGCTGTTCCGTGATCATCCCTTTTATTACAACCAACTGGAAAGAGAGCCCAAGACTTGTAATTTGTGTTTGTGTAGCTTGATCTTCCAACTTATCTAGATCAGAAAGTCTCAAATCAAAATCATGTGGCAAAGAGCACCTGTATGTCATCTTTCAGGCTTATTCTTAAGTATAGTCATAGGAAAAGAACAAAAGATATTATATATGTCCTAACAAAATCAAGCTTGGAAATGAGAACTCAAAGAAACCTGTATTTGGACAAATGATATTGGTTGGCTGTGATAGTTCAGAATTTCCCCCTCTCACAGTAACAGCAGATTTGGTTTCAGGAACCTGTTTTGTCGCTGAACTACGCAGTCCTGTGTGACTAAGGTGTCAGGGATTTTGTGGCCAAACTCAGTTTCAGTGTGGTGAGGCAGAGAAGCCATGAGATAAAACACAATGGTTTTGGTTGATCCTGATGTGTGAATGCAGACTGCTAAACCAGTAAACACCAGGCACCCTGGATGTGGCTAAACAGCTAGCAAAGCCAGCTTCACGGACAGGATTTCTCCAGTAGAGGATCAGATGGCTCAGAAATGCTAGAGAGAGTACATTAAGAGTCCCAGAGAGCCTTGAAGTTCTCCCTGTTAGAGACTGTTCTGGGGGCCTAAACATTCTCTGGTGAATTTCCTTGAGAAGAAGCTCAGAAGAATAATGCAGGTCCTCATTCCACATGTTTCCCTTCCTTTCAGATCCTTGCCTTGTAAGAACAATATTGACTCTCAAAAGTATTTTGTGACCTTCATTGGGTGACCAGGATATCTGTCGTCATCATCATTTTACATGATACCCCACTCAATATCCTAGAAATCTGGGTCTCCATGAAGTTAAAGACATTTCTAGAGCAACTGAAATTCTGCACCGAAGGCCATAATACAAAATGCCACTTAAAGAGTGATGTTTATTTCAAAGCTATTTCTAAGTTTACTTATAAGTTTGGGCAAGGTCAAATTTGGCTGTTATCTTCCTGATGTTTTCCTTCCTCAAGAATATCTGCAAGATGACTGCCTATGACAATGGAAGTGGGTGCTACTGTCCCTATTTACAATATCTGTGACAGCTCCATAAAGTCCGATCTTCCTTCACACACACACACACTGCAGAGGCACTCAGGTTCTTAGGTTTGTTTTTAACTTGGGGTAAAGGACAACTTTGGCTTTCAAGCAAACTGATGCAATAACAGAACTAGATGGCATAGAATGGCGCAATCTTCCCTTTGTCTGTTCCCTAGGACATGCCAAGGAAATTTAGATAGCAAAATTCTGCAACTTGGTCTAACAGTGCCAAAACTTTGGAGTCTGATTATTTGTCCTTGGGAGGTGTTCTAACTCTGGAAGTGGCAAATATCCCAGCTAGGAGAATTGAAACAGTCTACCCCTAAGGAAGATGATGGAGGAGTTTTTATTTGGCTTATGAGTTGCAGTAAATAACCTCAAATCTCAAATTGGAGATTCTATTTTTCTTTTGTCCAAGATTGCTTCCCTTCTATGAAATCACAATTTACATTCACAATATAGATTCCAGCAACAGCAACTATAAGTGAACACTGCATCCTGAAAGTGTATACAGCAGGTGTGAAGGATGAAGGCTAGGAGTCCGGATGCAGGCTGTCTCAGCAACTTTGGCAAATGCCTTACTAAGAATATACCCTAGATGGCCTCGACCACTTGTCAATAAAGCACAACCTAAACTACCTTCAGTCTAACCTTCAGTCAAGACCACTGAAACCAACAGTAACATCATCATCACCATCATTTAACGTCCGCTTATTATCAACCTTTCCTAAGTTATAAATCCATATACCCGATTTGGTCCATATTTCCTGATTTCTCCAAATGGTGGCATCAGTCTCTACTTCCACAAGCAGTCTACAAGGGTTCCAGTTTCCCCTCATCTCCAAATAAGGCACCAAGAAATTACAGAAAGTGTTACTTCTATAAAAGCCTAAGCTCCACACTGCAAAAAGCCTGCTTTAATCCATTCTCATTTTACTTGTAAAATTTAAATTTCTAAACAATGATTGATGGTTCTGGGGAGAGGTGTTTATAAAAGATCTTAGTCTTAAACAAAGCAGGTGAGAGAACTATTATTACATATGTTTAGGCTTCATGAACCATCAGAAGCAGAGCATAAATCCACTGGGGCTCTCACGATACTTTCTTAAGAATAAAAGCCTCCCAGGATATGATTCCAAGGATGGAGGGGGACTGACAAAGTCTTCAATGCACTTCCTAGTGTGAATAAGAGAGAATCAGATTTGCTAAGGGAGATTGTATTGTTATTTTCTAGTACCTAAGAACAGTCCTGCCTAGTACTCACTGCCGGTCAACCGTGTATTTGGACAGGCTCCCAGCTCTGTCACGACCGAAGTTTGGGCAGGGAGACCTCAAGAAGAAAGGCCTGAAAAAATCAGTGACGATGATATGTTACTATTTCTCTGCAAAAAATAAAAAGTGGCTGGGATAAACCCTGATCACATGAAGTCATTGTAAACCTCACCTACAGTATCTCCAAAGTAATGAAAAAGGAACTCAAACAAAACCAGAACCTGCAGGACCAGCCTACAGTTGCCTGCAGTGCTTCAGACACACTTCCCCTCAGCAGCTGCAGGGCCGGGCAGAGCAGAAAGCCTTCAGTGCTGGGCTTGATTTCCCTGCCCTTTTAAGATCTCAACAGGAAAGAACACACCATCCTCATGGCTTCGATTAGTGGAAGGCTCCTCCACTGGTTACCTGCGATCTGGTGGGAAGGCCCTAAGAAGGTCAGGGCAGGAAAAGGCTTCCACTGCCCTGCTGAAGGCCAATCCCAGCCACGTGATAAACCAAGACCTGCTATGATCCCTCTACTCAGCAAATCATTACCTGTGTGCCCCTGGGGGAACTGCTGACTTCTCTAAGACTCAGTTTCCTCACTTCAAAATGGAAGATGAAGGCTAACCCACCACGGTGTTGGCAGCCACAAATGAGACAAGAGGTGGCCAAGCACAGTACCTACCAAATGCATAGGCTTCACAGGTATGGTCATGCATACATATTCTCTGTATAAACATGCAAATGCAGATTTCTACTTGGGTTCTACCAACTCATGCACAAACTTCTATGCATTCATTCTCATAGATACATCATGCATCAAAATGCTCAGATATGCACTTGCACCCATACACACATACATGCACACCCAAGTCTACACCCATCCACATTTGTGAAAGGCTTTATCACTATTTTCCTTCCCTGATCATACTCACCTTATGCTGTGTTCTAGGGCACAGCCCTGCTCCCTAGGCACCCAGGTCTTTATCACATATGTTGGTAGAGCTGAAAAAGGGCCAACTCCTACTTTTCTAAAGCAAACTCTCACTCGGGCATCAGAGAACTTTCAAAAGTGAGAAGGCTTCTTTCAAGGCTTCTTAGAAGTAATGCAGTCTGGTGGTTCTGAAAGCTCTTTCATAGTGGTGCAATCCTTTCTTCAAAGAAAATCCCATGCAGCGACTGCAATATGTAAAACAGATACAGGCATCGCTGTACCTGTAGAAAGGAGTGGGCACTGAGAGCCCTGTTTACTGGCCCCTCCCCAGGTGACCCTGAGGTCCTGCCACAGAGCCACAGGGTTACAGAAAACACCTTTCATTTAGCATACGGAGTGAATCACGCCGTGCCACACGAGTGGTTTGTGTCAGGGCAGGACCTAAACCTAGATCTACTGGCTCAAAAGCCACCACTCTTTCCCCTGAGTTGCCAAAATATAGCCATCTAAATATCAGCACTTATATTAAGCATTAAATCCATTTTACTAAACAGTAACTACCCTCACTGTATATGATGCACCAAGCTCTAGATGTCAACTAATTTGACTTACTCTCCCTTTCATTGCCCTTATATCTTGCTTAATAAGACATTTTATTCAGATACTGCTGAGGTAATAAAGGAAGAAGCGTGGTTGCCAAATGTACTGCCATTTTTATTTTTAGCTTCACTGGAGTAAGGGGTTATTTTCTTGTGAAAAGGATGAAATGCAATGCCGGCCTTTTAAATTGTATCGCACAATCTTGCTTTTGCCTGAGCAATAGATTTCCAGATAACTGCAGCAATCTTCTCCAAGTGTAAAAAAACAAAACCAAAAAGAAATAATAGTCACTGTCACCCTTCCCAGACCCTGCCCAGCCTCAACTGTAAAGCATTAGCAAGAAGGGCTGTTTGCACCCCAACCGTGAATCTGCTGACACCTGCCCCCTACTACAGCTAGGAGGCTGCACTTCAGGCTTGGCAGCCAGCAGTGCAAAGCTCTGGCACTCTGTACCATAATTTAAAAAAAGATGACAGTGATAAGGATGATACTAAACATTCGTTGAGTGGTTATCAAGTACAGGTGTTGTGCCAGATGTTTTGGAGACATAAGCTAATTTAATTTTCACAACAACCCTATGAGGTAGGTACTATTACGATCACCACTGCACAGATGAGGACACTGAAGCACGGGAAGTTTAAGCAACTCATCCAAGGTCATCAATCAGTGTGTGTCAGAGCCAGGACTAGAACCCAGGCCCACTGGACTCTGGAGCCTTCACTTAGAACCAGTTCACCAGACCTGTCCTGTAAAGACTAAAGGCCTTGGTGTCAGCAGACCTGAATCCAGATCTACTCCACCATTTACTAGCTGTGTGTTCTTACGCAAGTAGCTTAACCTTTCTGAGCTTCACTTTCTTCTTCATCCGCAGAATGGAAACAGCACCCCCAACTTGCATTCTCATTATGTGGAATGTGCCTTGCTCCCTTGACTCAAGTCAGGAAGTCCTTGTCTTAATACTTAAATTCTGGGCTCAGGGCTACCCCAATTAGTGAAAGGAAATGAGTTCTGGTCACAAGAGTAAATGTGCCACAAAAATTGCAGAGAATAAACTTGATAAAAGTAAGGTAGAAGAGGGAAGGGAAGAGAAGGAGGTGGTGGTGGGTTTGGAGGGGTGTGATAGAGGGTCTCTGTAGCTATGAGTATTTCTAATAAGCACACTGGAACTGGCAGCTGAAGGAGAAGACAGGCATATCTAAACAGGCTGAAGAGTTTTAAAGTGGGTTACATGATGGACACATTTTACACTTGGGATCTGTGTAGTCTCAGGAGGCAGAACAAGGACCAATGAATGGAAGCTCCAGGGGATATATTTGGCTCATCCTGAGAACAAATCTCCTACTTGTCTTGGGTAAGTTGGCTTGCACAACCCCTGGATATACTGAGGTCCCTATCACTGGAGACCCCTGCGAGAGGACACTGAAAATGCTGGTTAAGCTCCATCCATTCTAACCTTGAAATTCTTTGATTCAAGGGTCAGAGTCCCAATTATGCCCCCAAAGATCCACGTTGAGACTAGCAGGGTTCCTCCTAGCTTTTCTGCAGCCAGAGTGCAGTGGAGCACTGGAGGCGGTTTCTTAAAGACACCCCATGCCGACAAGAGCCCACAAGACGCAGAAAGACAGTGACAGGTGTGAGTCTTACTATGTAGAACTCTGGAGGGGTCCCTTCTTGGTATCAAATAGGATAGGGAAGGGCCAGAGAAGCCCAGGAGAAAAACAACAAAATGTGTTGAGGCAGGAAAACAGCCCTGCTGAACAGAAAGCTGCTCTGCTAGTTGACAGAGGACTTACAGGCCCAGGAAAGCAGGAATGGCAAGCGACAGGCGCTGAAGTGTGGTGGCAGACCATGGCCACCAGTGAGATGTGCTCTGGCAGAACTGAAGGACTGGGTATAATCCCAAACGGTCCCTGATGCCCATAAATACCCAGGGGAAGACTCCACTAATTACTCCATTCAATGAACAATTTCATACTATACTGTGTGAGTTCAAGATAAGAAGGTCCAGCTCCCGGCTCACATCTCCAGCCAGGCTCCCAGGAAGACCAGGAGTAGAGGACTCCACCTTCTGGAAACTGGTTCACCACAATCCAGAACTGAATGCCATGTGTCCATACATACTTGTCTTCAGAGCACGAGACTGAAAATTTCAAGTGAGTGTGTTTTATTCCAGCTTGGAAGTTGGTTTGCCTTTGTGATCATAACAGCTTGTCCTCCCATCCCCCAGTCTTTATCCTCCTGCCCCCATTTTAACACTGTTAACAGCACAAGGAAGAGGCCTCTGGGGCCTTGCTCCTTCCTAGACAGCTCAGCCTGCTTTGCTTGTGATTGATACCGAATTCTAATAAAATCCTTCCTGAATTCATTAGACACACAACAGTAGCAGAGGTAAAACAGGAACCCACCTGGCATCTAAGTGTGTTCCCAAAGACTTGCGTGTCCCGGCCCGCGGGACGAACGTGGAGTGTGCCGGAGACGCCTGCAGAAATGAGACCAGCAAGACAGGATGTCTGATCAAGCTGGCACAGTTTATTGTTTACAGGCTCAATTTATACAAGTAGCAAGTAAGGGGTGGGTCAGGAGATAATTGGACCTTAGGTGGCGCTGGCGGGGAGGTGTAGAAGGGTGATTGGGTCTTGGTTGGCGCCGACGGGGACGGAGGACCCGGAAGAGAAGTGGGGAGTTCGCCGTTTTGGGGGCAGGGGAGGTGTTTTCACACATCCTCAAGGTCTCCCTATTTTCAGAGTGAGGAGTCTTGGCCCATCTTCAAGGACAAGATATGTTTTTGTGAGCAGATAACTTCCAAGGACTGCACCGGTTGCTCTCAAGCTTGTGCTTTCCCATGCTGCGTTCAGATGTGGGGGAAGGGACATAGCCCCGGCTCCCAACACTTGCGCATACAGAGCACCCTGAAAAAACACAGGCTCTGGTGCCAGACTGCCTAACTGAATCTTAAATCCACCATTTCCTAGCTGTGTGACCTTGTGCAAGTTACTGAACCTCTCTGGGTCTCAGGTTCTTAATCTGCATAGTAGTGGTATTCATAGAACCTACCTCATATTGTTATGGGAGTTCGATGGGTTAATATATATATATAAGCATGTAGAATACTGTCTGGCGGAAAATAAGCACTTAAAAAAGTATCTGCTATTGCTCTGGCTGCTACCAATTCCACCACCTTCTTCCTCCTCAACTGGCACAGTCATTTCTTTGGAAAAAGTCCCTGTTCCACAAACTATATTAGCAAATCTAAAATTGTATTGGAGTTATATCAGTTCAAGAATTTGGATGGCTCTCAGAACACTTTTTTAAGGTCATATAGATGAGATATTTTTAATGCGATAAACTACCACATTCCAACCTTTCCTAGACTCTAACACTCTCAAGCAACCAGGGCAATTAAATCGTAAAGACGTGATGTGTGTTATGGAGGAAGTACTCCAAGGCCTGATATAAAAATGTTCATTACCAGCCAGGCCCCTGCAAGATGACCAAATTAACCTCACTGCCAGGAGTATATTAAGGAAGAACAATAAATTATTCAAAAACCTAATGCTGACACAGCAAAAAAATATTTATGGAAAAATCATCAGATTATTGCATTTTAATCACAATCTTGTTGTATGGCTAAAGTGTTAAGTCCTCAAAGCACTTTGGCTGAAGATAAGCTAGTCCCGGGGTGACTTGATATCAGTGTCTTCCCTGGGAGAATGGACAGCATAACCTGAAGGGAAGAAAAGGTCAGCAGATGAGACTGTATATCTGAAAAGCCAGAAATATGCCAAAGCATCCCTAGGTGTCCTTGTAAGAAAGCCACCCACTCAACAAGAGTGGCAGGTGGCCATTTGGACATTCACGTGCCTTCTCTTAAATCACCCTCTTCTTCAAAAGCAGAGTGGAAACCCCCAGCCCCTCAAATTTAATTCATTGGCCCTTGAGGAGAGGTTAAAAAACATTATAATAGGAAAGAAGACACTCAGAACCCCACAGAAGACGCCTACCCCTTCCCCTTCCCACTGCCTGCCCATGCTCTCCGGCGCTGCTCCCTGCCTCCCCCGCCCTTGTTTAATGTCTCTAACTTTATGCCATGTTCTCTTCCTCTTTCAGCACGGCTGAGCAAAGCTGACAGGCGGATTCCTTTGCTTTTCAGGGTATTAAAGCCACTTTCCCGCTCTGACAGCCTGTTCTACTCTGCCACCTTATAGCTCTGACTTCACACTCCTCTGGGCAGCCAGTCCTTCCTGACAGACCACTGTCACTTCCCATCATCCTCTCTGTATATCCCGTCTCTCCCCCTCAGCACGCATCCCGACTTTCCAACCAATGCAATTATTTTTTTTGACAAGCCATCCATCAGTTTTAACTTTAAAAGCACTTTCTGCTGATATCCATTGTTAAATCCTTTGCTTTTTTATGGGGCTTGCATGAGAGAATATGATATCAGACATTCAAACTACCAAACCATGTAAATTTACTTTGTTCTCAGCTATGTTTCCAATTTCACGTCCAATTTTTCGGTACATTATGCGTAGTTGTTGTGCTTAATATGATGTTGTCAAATCCCATTAAAGTTCACTGCATTGCACGGCTTTAAAAACAGGTTACAATTTGCATTCTATAAAGAAAGGAAGGAGTGCAGTCTGAAGTCAAGCTGAATCTTATTAAAATTATCTGTTCAATTGTTACATTTGTAGATGGAGTAATTTTGAGGCATTAGCTGAGACACATATGAAAATGTCAGCGTGCCAACTAACGACAATGAGAGCAAAAGGAATATCTCTGTGAAACTCAATAAAGCTCCTTTGCTGGTGACATAAATTTGATGATAATCCGAGGAAATGAATAAGGGACCATCCCGTTTGAATAGGAATTACCTTTTCTATTAAATCACTTTGGTGTGTTTCCACTTGGCCTACATCTTGGTCATAGGCCACAGTGAGTCTCTGGAGACTTATTCCAATACAAGGGGGGTAGGAAGAAGTGCAAAAAAGGAGAATTCGACGGAATAGAAGGTCATTCTGTCGAAGGGCATCCTACTCACAGGAGCTAAAAGAACATCCTAAGAGAGCATTTTAAAATACTTTCTTCCTGCTTGGAACAAGCACAAAGAATACCATCAGCACATGGATAACTGCAAATCTCTGAGCACTGGGATTCATGGGGAAGGGCAAACATACACTGCAAAGTGGGGGTGCCTAGGGTGCGGCTGGGATGGATGGGGGATTCACGGGAAGGACGGGCGACTAGGATTTATGACACTGGAACCAACCACGCCAAATGGCGTCTAGGGGTTTCCCTCTCCCATGGAGTTCCCATCCCAGCTCTATTTATGACAGCACCGATTTCTACATGTCTCGTCATTAAATCTAGTCTCTGATTTTAAAGGTATCCATCACTAGCACTGAGCAGAATTATGCCATTAGGGGCATTATTAACTGAACCATTGACTTCATTGACTATAACAAGTTGAATTTTTGTTTCACACACAAAAAGTATTCCCAGTGCAGACATCCATACCTCCTTCAAAGTTATTTTATTAAGGACACCATAATTTTAATTTTTCCAATACAGACAGTATATAGGATAGTCACAACGATATGGAATAAAACCCAGTGACTATGGAGGATGTAATGACTGCTAAGGAAGTTGGTGCTGAGGCAGGAAGAAAAGGGCAGAATGTGTTTTAGGTTCAGCTCAGACAATGACTTACTGTGTGACTTTAGGAAAGACACTTTACCTCTTTGGACTCTCCTTATTCTATGTGTAAAATGAGGATAAATATTCCTTATAGCTATTATAAAGACTGAATGAGATAATCCACATATAGCATCCTGTATATTCTGACACACTGTAAGAGATTAACAAATACTAGCTATTACTATCCTCTTTCTTATCACCACCCCCAGTAATAGATGAAGAATGGAGTACAGAAAAAAAAATGGAAAGAATAGGGAAGAAAAAGCCTATCAAGAGGTCCAGGCTGGAGATGAAAATGAGTGTTTGGACTAGAAGCCAAGAGAGCAAATAGGTTTCAGTTCCCTTAAACCTGGTCACCTTGTCAGCTTCTTTCAGGATGCTGTTTAGAAAGATTCTGAGGCCACATCCAAGTTCTGGAAAAAGTGCCAGATAATGACTTAACACCCACGGTGAGAGTTACAGGGTGTCATAAAACATGTAAGTTGGAAAGAACAATTTATGTGGGGACCCTGCATCTAATGGTAAATATAAAGCAAGGGTGAGAATCTGGGCAAAGAGTAGGAAAGTAACCACACAAATGAAATGTGGGTGGCAGCAGGCAACTTGCAAACAGGCCAGTACAAACCCAGCAACCAGCAGGGCCTCCATCAAGGACAGTTCCACCCCCTTTGCTGGGTCACATACTCGATCAGTGCATTTATGCCCACAGCCCACCAAGCTAAACCATCTCAACTATTCCGACATATCAAGGAAGGCAAACGAGGCCAAACTCCATATTGTCAGGCCTGGGAAAAAGCAGAGAGACCATTAAAGTGGTGACGATTGAAAGCTTTCAGAGCAAGAGTAACTCTTTTTATGAACAGTGAGAGATTTTCCAGAAAGGGAGAAATTGGTCCTAAAAAGTAGTTTTCTTGGTGGAACATGGGAGGAATAAAGACGGGTGGCCTGGCTTTCCCCCACTGCTGGGAAGTCTGGCCTCCCAGATGGGCAGGAGACAGATTATCAATTCTGAATGAAGACTTATTAGAATTTAACATTTGGTTCTTCTTAGAAGAAACAGCAAAGAAAGAGAAAAGGTAAAAGGGTGTCAACAGGGAGAAAAGTAGTGGGGGGACAATTGGAGGATGAAGGAGCTTACTTCTAAGGCACATTAATAAACCTGGATGACCAAAAATGGGGGTGGGGCAATAGAATGGGAAGCTTATCAATATTAAGCGCCTAGTCAGGAAGGATCTGAAGGAGGAAGGTGATATGTACACACTGCTCTAAGAAAACTTCCTGACAACAAGAACTTCTGGAAATTTTAGATCTTGAAAATAAAACATTCTTCGGCTTGGTTTTAAATCAATTTTTGAGAAGCCTTGGTCTCACTACAGGAAGTTCCTTTGGGATCTACAAGACAGAAGCACCTATACTGAGTGTGGGTGTGTGCACACCTGTGTTCTACTGCAATTAGAGACCTTCAATGACTACTCTCAAATTTCTCTAGAATGTTTCCTACAGGAGTAGAAATTCAGCCTCACACTCTGTCCAGGTGAAAATATTTCATGGCATAAATTTCTCTAAAGGGTAATTAGCCCCACACATCATCCATTCTTCCCCTAAATGGCCAGAGCAGAAAGTACATACAGAACCAACAGATATCTGGCTCATCCTGATGTGCATTTGTATTCATCTTTCTACGCATGTATCTCCTGTCCGCCACTCGTGTGGACAGCCATATATTGCATTACTCTATGACCTAGTCTTGAAAACACACTACCAATATGAAGTAAGACCCCAACAAATACATCTATTTGAGGAA